CTTGGCACCTCTCCTATGGCATACAATCTACCTTATGATATACATGAGTACTCCTATAATTGACACAAGGTCCTTAAGAGCTTCTTACTCCTCTTCTGATGCCTGCAATGCCTAGCCCAGTGTTAAGCAGAGAAAGCAGCATGAGATATGAGTTGCCCCAAATGTTTCCCATTTAGAAAGCAATAGAGGACTGTTTTCAGACAATCCCAACTGCCTTAAGGGAATTATGCACATATTCTCCTTTTGTCTCTTATTTACATATCTTAGACCAATTTTTAAGTAAATTGCCTTCAAGATATCTAAATTGGCCGGGTGCTGTGGCTCACACCTGTTATCCCAGCATTTTGGGAGGCCAAGGTAGGCATATTACCTACTGTCAGGAGGTAGACCAGCCTGACCAACATGAAGAAACCCCGTCTCTACTAAAAATACAAAATTAGCCGGGCGTAGTGGTGGGTGCCTGTAATCCCAGGTACTCAGGAGGCTGAGGCAGTAGAATCGCTTGGGCCCAGAAGGCAGAGGTTGCAGTGAGCTGAGATCACGCCATTGCACTCCAGCCTGAGCAACAAGCGTGAAACTCCATTTCAAAAGAAAAAAAAAAGATACCTAGATTGCTATTTAGTATACATTACTGTAAGAGTTCTGTTTCTGGGAGTTCCAGCAGCTTCTAACTTGTAAATAAACCCTGAATATTTGAGCTATTTATGCCAAAAGACAATAGAGATTTATTTTTTGAATGTTAGTAAAATTGAGGAAAACATAAAAATAACTTGCATTGGATTAAACATGTTTCAAGTAAAGATTCATTAAAGCTAATGTGTCTGTCCTAAAAATTACATTTAAAGTTCTAAAGTCTTCTTGTATCATTAAAAAGGTTTAGTCAGTTTTATTTCAACTCTTTCTCACCTCAAAGACAAACCAAAATAGAACAGAGAATACTTTTCCTTAATTTTATTTAGATCCTAACTTGAAGGTATGTTTTGTCACTTCTTCAAAAGGAGCAAAAAGAGTATCACTAATGAGCATGTTCTGACCAAATCTTTAAGTCCTACCCCAAAGCTATATACGAGGCAGCCCACACCACCAGCACCCTTCGTTAGCAGGGGTTAGCAGGCTGCAAATTCTGTTTTCTATGTCCCTGAGCTAAAAGTGGTTTCACATTTTTGTGTTTTGTAAACACAAAGAAAAATATGCAACAGAGAGCATATATGGCCAGCAAAGCCTGAAATATTTACTATCTGTCTCTTTTCAACAGGATGAATTTGGGACTCCTCGTTGCCCTCCACTGGCACATAAGACACCCACCTTTTCCTCCCAAGGTTTTCACCCACCTTTTCCTCCCAAGGTTTTCACCCACCTTTTCCTCCCAAGGTTTTAAAAAAGCAATATAAAACACAAGAACGGGTAAAAAGATCGAACTCGTTCAACTCAGTCATAGTTAATGCAGACTAACTTCTAACAGAGGCCCATGTGTGGACATTTTCATATTCACAGAACTCTTGTTAGAAGAAACTTGCCTTCATTCTGTAGATGAACATAATTACGCTTGAAGAGGGAAAGTGCCTGATCCCAAGTGACACTGCTGTTTAACAGCAGAGTAGGGTCAAGGATTCAGCCCTCAAAACCCTGGTCCAATGTTCTGCAATCCACTGCATACGCTGTTATGTGTGCCTTTAAGTTTTGGAGATGTGGATAACTAGCTTGGATCAGTATAAAAGACGAAAGCTTAAAACCTGTTCCCAATACGCTGTTTAGATAGACTCCTACTAGCAGCTATGAATCATTAAACAGAGTAGCATTAATGCTGACCACACACATGAGATAAGAACTTCTTCTAGGAAGTCTTCTGTTTTAAAAGTAGGTATGATAAAGAAGGCTTGAAACCGATAGGGCTTGCTCCTCCAGGGCTTCAGATTAGGGCAAACACGCACGTTTGCCTTCCAGCTGTTCAATGCTCATCTCCCAACCCAAATCCACAAGTTCCACAAATGCTTTCGAATGCCCGTTGAAAAACACTGTTCAGTCTCATCTCACACACACGTTCTAGAGAAAATTACAAGTTCCTGGGTTCTACTTGTAAAACTACTAACCAGTTCACATTTTTTTAAATCTCCCTACGAATTTTGCTTCCTTAAAAAAAAAAAAAAACTGCTTCTTCGATTCCTAAATCTATAAAACTCACTTTATCGCGTCTTCTCGGTTAATTCAAGAATTAAAAAAAAAAAAAAAAAAAAGAAAGAAAAAAAAAATTTGCCCATACTGGTAACTTCACTACTCTGCAGGATCCCAAGAGCTCTGTGTATACCAGGTTCCAGAATTCATACACATTAACAGCGTAAGATCCTTCATGTGAGGTAGCTCTTGCAAGGTAGAGCACGGATTCTCGGGGTGGTGGGGGATACCGCCTGAAGCTCCTCAGACCCCCACCACAGGAGCTCCGTCCTCTAAGGGCGACCCCCTACCCCTCGCCCGCGGCGCGAGTCCAGGCCGCCCCGGCACCTGCGGCCCGGGCCCGCAACAGGGACCCCGGGGAACCAGCCCCGGGCCGGGCCCCAAGGAGTCGGCGCCCACTCCCACTCCCGGAGGCCGGCGACTGCAGGCCTGAGCCGCTCGCCGACCCCGGACGCGGCGTTACCTGGAGGACCACGTCGTTGGGCAGCTGCGCGGCCCGGAACAGCTCCAGCACCCGCCCGTTGACCACCACCTTCTTGGTGCTCTCAATGTCGCAGTAGGAGAAGAGATCTGAATAGTATTTCTGCTCCGCATCGCTCAGCGTTAAGCCTTCCATCTTCGCCTCCGGCTCACAGCCGCCCCGCCCCGCATGCACTACCAGGGGCCCGGCCCCAGGACCCTGGGCCGGTGGGGGCTGTGCGTGGCCCGGCCTCCTCCTCGCTTCCCGAAGCCGTCGGCCCCGGCCTCACACGCGCCAGGTGCGCCCGAGCAACAGGGCCCAGAGGTCGCGAGGAGAGGGCCCCGCTGAGCTCCGCGCGCCGCCGCCTGCGAGGCCCGGCGCAGTCCTGGGGTTCGCGCGGAGCGCGGCGGCGGCGGCTGCGGCTGCGGCTGCAGCTGCGGCCCCGGCCCCGGCCCCGGCGGCGGCCGCGGGGAGAGTGGAGAAAGAGGCGGGGGCCGCGGAGGCGCGAGGCACTGGCGGACTCCGCCCCCGCCGCGGGTTCGAGTCTCCCTGGCTCCCCGCCGCGTCCCCCAGACTTCCCGCCTCAGCTTCCCCTTCCGTCCACGCCTCTGGAGCGGCAGCGCTTCCCGGAAAGTTGTGGGGCTTCGAACCTAAAGTTTCGGGGGCTCTGGGCTGAGCGTGGCCGCCGCTCCGCCTCCTTCCGCCGCCATTTACGGCGCCCCGGCCCGGCCCGGACGCGCCCGCACCAACAGTGACAGCGGCGGCCGCGCTCCAGACCCGGATGTGAGGCCGGGAGGAGAGAGCGCGAGAGGGAGAGAGAAACACCCACCGGGCTGGCTTGGCCGCTCCCGGGAGAGGGAGGGGGCCGCAGCGCCCCCTGGTGGCCGGCGCCCGACGGCGGGATGACCGCGCCGCCCTCTGCGCGAAGACCTGGGCAGCAAGACCCCCGGAAAGCGGGGTGCAGCGGGGAACAGCCAGCAGCTCACTAAGACCGAGATAACTTAGATACATATGGGTTGCAGTTTTTATGTTTTGCAGCTTCTGGTCCTAAGCGTCTAAAATAAATATTGGATTGAAAGGGGAGCCTTGTTCAGGTTATCACCATTATGTCTGCACCTTTTTGGTGTCAGGTGTGACTAAAG